TGTATCTTTAGCCATATCCCGGCTCACGTGATTAGGTTTGGTCGGCTCGCTTACATGAACCGACAATTATATGCGCCTCCTGGGTGTGGGTTGAGCCTCGGGCAGCACGGCGACAAGAAACCAGAAACATCCATTCCTGTGCACTGGAGCGCACCAAAACAGGGACGAAAGGCGAGAGAGCCTTTCCTCCTTTGAAGGTGTTATCTTTCCCAAGTGTTTGATATCGCCGCACACAGTGCCCTCGTTGCAACCTCCCAAGTTGCTTTTTCACTTCCTTCTTCTGTTTGTCTAATGTCGTATGTTAAATCACAAATAAAGAATTAGCTTGAAGCTTTCCACAAAATCAGTTAAGACAGTCACAAAGAAATCCATGTACGTCATTCTGTGACCACGATCATGACTCAAATCCTTCAAATCTCAAATAAACTTTCCCCATCGATGGGAATGGAAATGCCATTAAACTGTCCCTACCCCCAAAACATGTTTAGTGTGACTTTTTAATTGGGAAAAATAGTATTCGATAAAACTTTCTACTCGATCGCATTCGATAAATACATAGAGTAAAAACAAATGAATGCAAATGAACATTTTTTTGCATCAGAAATTCATCCTTTAATTCAATGGACATCGTGCTGCTCCATCTGATGTCTTGGCACTGTGGGGACAGTAGAAAAATATACGTCGATTTTAAGATGAGACACAGAAGAAACCCATCACAACTAAACTGCAGTAGTTTGAGTCGTTTTACGAAGAGCATAAAGAAGCTATGGCTGTGAGTATTTTTATATGCTCTTCCTTCATGCATCTTTTGTGTTGAAATATCTTTTTTTTTCAAGCGCACAAAACATATTGACGTACACCAAAATAGACGGAATTTAATGTGGTCCCCTATGTCAGGGCTCATTTCAGATCGACAGAAGAGCAAGGCGGGATGAGGTTGAAATGTTTTGAGGGGAATGAAGTGACGCTCCTCGATCTCCTCGTGGATGGATGGGCATTCATACTGCAGATGCCTGAGATACATAATTAGTTCATTTGTTAATAATAGTCTACAGTAAAAAGCTGTCAAAAGAGTGCTACTGAATTTTGCTCCACAAAGTGCACCACATGATGTCATATGATGCTGTGGGTTCGGACGTGTCTTCTCATTGGGTGATGTCACATAACATGTAGCTGCATGGAGATTGTTGTACAAGCCCTGGTCTTCGCTTTGAACCTGGTCCCTTGTGGTTCTTTACAATAGAGGCAAAAGACCACATCAGTAGTGCTGCGGTGCCGTAATGACCTGTGCAGAGTGAGCCTTGCGCTGCACACTCACTACACTCTCCCTCTTTTTTTTTTTTTTTTTTAAGGAACCACCTTGTTTGCTCGGAAAAATAAATGTGGCCAACGGTAAAAACAAGGTTGGACATTTAATTCTAGTCATCCAAAGTTGACTTGAGGCTCCGCATCTCAGCATGAAAGTCCCTGTACAGACGGGGGCTTGCAGATGCAGATTGTTGTTGTTTTTCCAGCTTAAAAAAATGTTTGGACGCCTAAATACGGACGACTTCCATCGTCCGTGTTTGAACGCATAAATAAACACGCGGGGAGGGTTTTTTTGTGCCATTTTCTGAGTCCTCGCTCCACCCTTTGCTGCTCTGTCATTTCAACTATTCTAAAATAGTACGTATAAAAATTGGTGGCACAAGGGGTAAAATTAAAAAACAGTTGTTAATGGCTGTTTGAGCCAAACAAAAGTTCAGCTTGCTGACTAAACCTCAGCATTTTGCGAAGAACTCAACATGCGCAATTCTTTCATCAGTTAGTTAACAAAAGAACTGAACCAATTTCCACCCTTCCATCTTTGTTGGTTTGATAGTAAGTTAGTTTGCTAGGCAGGGGATATGGTTCGAGTTATTTCTTGCCGAAAACCTGTTTGCTGATTTTAGTTAGTTAGTTAGCTAGTTCTGGCCACACGAAGAAAATGCCACATAGTTCCTTTGTCTTCACCATTTGCTGCGTCACATTAATTTGCGCTTCCCTATTGGACACTGATCCCAGGGACAATTTAGAGTGTTCCATTAACCTGCCACCCCCGTTTTTTTGAAAACGGGGTGTACATGCAAACCTCTGTACTGTGAGGCGGACGTGGTAACCATGACCTCCGTGCCGCCCATTTTGTATTTTGTTCCTCCTCACCGCTTTATGTTACCAGTTTTGCGTGAACATACCATACCTATTCATCAATAGCGCCTTTTTGTTTGGATTTTCTTTGGAATAAACTCTTGGGGTTACTTCTTTGAGTCGCATATCGTGACAGGAGTTGGTTAATGAGTTCATTTGTTCGCTAGCTAAGCTAGCAAGTTAGCCGGAAAAGGACTCCATTCACGGACCAGTTGATTCAAATCTCGCCAACGACACGTGACCCACGTCAGCAAGGTAGCACTTTAGCAAAATTGCAGATAATATGCCCTCATTTACGTAAACGAAACTGTTGCGGGATCTTTAATTAAACCGCCGAAGAAAGATGGCTGTCATGTAAATACACACCATGTCAGGAGTCATGAGAACAAGTGAGGAGGTCGGGTGGGGTGAGGGAAGGGGGGTATGCACTCTAAATAGATTAGCCATCTCGAGGAAAAGTCTACACGCATCATTTATGGTCACTTGTGTGTTTTAGAACATGTGATTATTTGGGTGTGGGCATTTCCTATGCGGCGGTGCTCCAAAATGGAGAAATTACAGCTGGACTATGTCAAAGCACAGCGAGGCCAAGGTGGAGGACTAGAGAAGATAATACGGCGGGAGGAAACACAACACTGCAAACCACCAGAAATGCGGCTGTAATTGTAGGCGTTCCCCCACCCACTAGCGCCGGCTTGTTCGCTTCCAGCGCCGCTATGAACCCCAGAAATAGGCAAAAATAATAATGAGACTCACCTTATATTTGAACTGTTGACCGGCAACCAAAATGATGGCAATCTCAGATGGACGAAACTTCTGTTTTGAGTCCTTTTCCTGTCAGACGAAAAATTATTTTGTTAAAAGGATTATTGAGTGTGTCGCCGTGTTTAAAAAAGGATTGTGACGAACTGGCTTTTTTTTTTTTTTTTTTGCAGGGGTCACTGTCTAAAAGTGGCCCATTTAGCAGGGTCTCTGTGTATAAGTGGCTTGTTTGGCAGGGTCTGTGAAAAAAATGTTTTTGGTTTTGTTTTGGGGAGACTCTTTAGAAAAAAAAAAGAAAAAAGACAAGCTTTGCTTGATCCGTTTTTAAAAGTGGCATATTTCTTGGGGTCTCGCTATGTTTTAAGAGGTCTCCTGAGTAAAATAATGTTTTTTTTTGTTTGGTTTTTTTTTGCTGATTTGATTTCATCTGCACTCTCAACTCATGCTGGAAATCAGAATCAGAATCTCCTCTGTCTGTTATTTTTGCTGCCACCTGGCGTTGAACATGGGTACCACATCATGGAGCCTGCCAGACAGTCATAATCGCAATTACGAGACTCCTACTAGAGTTTCATTTAACTGGCTCGTTCCGAGGGCATCAACGGAAGCTCTTTAACAACAATAAAGCTGCAGGCATGCGAATTCGGAGTATATTAAATATCTTTTTACCATGATATTATGACACGAAGCATCTCCGTCCTGTTTGTCCGACAGGCTCCGATGAATCCAGACAGCCAGAGAGATTCATCTTGTAAATGTTGCAGACACTGTGCATACACTCGATATGGACTTTGTGGACAAACAAACGAGCCGCGACCCATTTGGACCGGTTTTCTTTTAAATAGATTAGTGGCTCGTATTTTAAGATGTGAGACGTATTTATACAGCGGAGTTCCTGTCAACATGAACTCCAGGAAATGAAACACATTTAAATGAACTCTAAAGTGTCAAAGCAAATTGAAAAGAAAACACGTCAAGAAAAGAAAAAATGAACTTCAATTAGGTTACAGTAATTGAAGTAAAAATAATTATTCATCGATTAAATCAACGTGTAATAAAAGAATCCGAAAACATAGTATAAAACAATTAATATAAAATAAAAATGTAATCTCTAAATATCTGATTATAGTAAATAAAAACGGGGAAAAATACTTTCTCCCCCCCCCCACACAAAAGCTTTGCTGTACTATTTCGTAAAAATTAAATACAAATTTTAAAAAAATTATATGAGCTTATTAAAGATTAACAATACATGTTTTTCCTACTCATAAAATAAAGCAACATTAAAGTAAAATAAATAAGTGTATAAACAAATTAAACGAACTAAATAAAAATAAATGGAAAGAGATGATGATCATGAAATTAAAATATTAAGTATAAAAACAAACAAAAAATAAAGTGTGACTTTCTTCCCTTGTCGCAGGAGCTGTCTTTCTACCAAATAAAATGAAATTAAAGTGTTAAAACAAGCAAAGAAAATTGTTATTAATTTGATTATATTTATTTAATGTGTGAAAACATAAAAGTGTAATTATGTAAACCAATTTAAATGGTCTGAAAACAAAGAAACCAAAAAGACAACATTCTTGTGATTCCCACTGCATTTTCTTTGTGTTATTTCCAGCCAATAAAATAAAATAATGTACAGGTAAATGTAATAATCCAAAACACAATTCAATAAAATTGAATCAGGTTTTAAAAAATGATATTAAAGTGTAAAAAGAAACAGGACTTTTTACTGAATTTAATTTAAATTTGATTTAAATGCTACCAAGAACAAAAAAAACAAAAACCTGTCATAACTTTTCTTTTTGTGGCTCTCTGCTTTTTTGTCCATTGTTGTCTTATTCAAAGAGAGGAATTTCTATTTAAAAAAAAAAAAAAAGTGATAATCATCATGTGTCTGGCTTTTTCAAGACGTGGAGGCACCCTGATGTGACATGCCTGTTTTGGGCAGATCTGCCTGCTAATTACAGCTCTGCTTTTTTTTTTTTGAGGAGGGAGGTGCTTGAATGATGGGGACTTTTTTTTTGTTGCTTTTTTTTTGTTGTAATGATGCTTATGGGCAGCGATGGTATAAATACTCGCAACTTTGACAGGGGAAAGGCAGCATATCCTCAGTTGTGCTCCAAGCCAAAGGATATACAGAGAAGCACCAGCAGCTCACTGGTGCAAGAGGAGATTGATTTTTAAATCCCCCGCCCCAAATTTGGTGTCGGTAAGTGTCTTTATTTATTTGTTTTATGGATACACTCAGCATCCCTGAACTGTTTCTTACTTCCGTGTTAGTGTAGTATGTACGGGAGATTTTTTAACTTGCAGCATCATGCAGGGTGGACTTAGCTGTTGGAAGTTTTTGTAGCTGCGATACAACTTTTGAGCATGTTTGTAGTTGTTGTTTAAAATAAACTGTTTCCATGCAGGTTTTGACCGAGAAAGATGGACATCCGCGTCGCCTGTATCGTCGTCCTCATGGCTGCCCTGGTCGCTGGCCACGGCAAGGGCTACGTTGTCAAGAAGGTGGTGAAGGCCGCCCCCCAGTACGAGCCCTACCACGTTAAGAGCCAGGGTAAGAAATTTTGCCCAAAATGGCCAATCACTAGATGGGATTTTGGTTAGGTTTCACACTGTCCTAGGAGTAGAACGGGTCGTATTCGTTGTTTTGATTGTTGTTAATCTTAATAGAGACAACAACAGACAAGTTATGCTACTTTAGTTTTTTTTTTTTAAACACAATGTGGCGTGTTATGAAGGTCATTTTGTAATGGCAAGTGCTCACAGACAGACATACAGATGAGTTAGGATTCTGAGTTTGACCCCAGAAAGGCATATTCAGGAAAAACTTGACGCAGGTCATTTGCATTCTTTTGTAACTGATAATCTTCACAAAGATACAGAATATATAATTCCTGGAGGGTAGATGAAGGGATGGCATATTCAGGAAAATCTTGATGCAGGTCATTTTTTTAATATTTTGTACTTGCCAGGGTGGTTATTCTTACCCTCCTAAAAATAATGGCCAATGTCAGATTTTCTGTTGGTTATTTTTGTTTGTTTGTTTTCTGAAAACACAAAAACCTCAACCAAATACTGATTATATTGTATTTATTAAGAATTTTAGTTGAGGGGTAGAATTGAATGATCGATTTAACCTCTTTTTAGCAAATGTGAATAGCATCCTGAGGAGATATTTCAGGAAAAAAAAAAATATTTTGTCAAAATATGACTGAGGCCATCCATTATTTTAAGAGGGTAATGTTATGATACTTATTTTAACCTTGATAAGGCATACAGTGTTCATCAAAATCTTGATGCAAGTCGCGTTCATTGTATTGCAACTGCTTAGGTTCACAATGATACACAGGGATAGATTACGATACTTATTTTAACCCCACAGAGGCAAATTAAGGAAAATTTTGATGCAGATCATTTTTGTTATTTTTCAATTGCTGGACGTGATGGCTTGGTGCAGTATTTCTGCATAATTCCAGACAGATTTAGTTTCAAACGAGACAAGATGTCATTTTTTTTTCCCAGCCTCGCAGACCGCACACAAGCTATGCAGTATTTCTGCATAATTCCAGACAGATTAAGTTTCAAACGAGACAAGATGTCGTTTTTTTTTTCCCAGCCTCGCAGACCGCACACAAGCTGCTTTTTTGGCACTGACAAATTAGAGCCCAGTCAGCCAGCAGCAGCAGTGTGGTTTGTTTGTTTGGGTGTGCCGCAGAGGGAGGAGGACCTATTTGCCAGGCTTTATTCTGAGCGGTACCGGAACCACATTAAAAAGGACAGAAATTAAAAAATACAAATACAATAAAAAGCAGCACTCCCTGTGAGTCACACAAGTTCAGGATTTTCTTTTAAATGAATAGTTCTTACTATTACTAAAATTACCTATATAATTTGATATATACTGAAATATTGTGAAAGTAAAGGTTAGAACAAGAATAGTTTAAATTAAAATAAAGAATAAAATAATAATGAATATAAACAAATGCAATAGATTCAACCGAAAATCCCTCAAAATACAACGAAAATTAAATGATGGTGGAAAGTAAGCCATTTTTTAGCCTTTTTATTCGAATAGTTTTTTTCACCCCCCCATATTTTTTGACATGGCAGCAGCAAAATAAATCAAAGCATAAAAAATTGCAAATACAAATACATAGACTCTCATTTAGACTGATGACCTGGTAGCAGACAGAAAAATAAAAGCATAAAAAATAGCAAATACATAGACATCCAACTATACAGTCTACATTTAGTTAACTGATTGTCATAGTCATTTTTTTTAAATCTCAAAATACAGAGTAAAATAAACTATAGCAAATTTAAAACTATATCTAAGATACAATATATTTCTGTGTGACAGAGAAATGCTGTAAAATGTGAAATTATTCATAAAAATGAAATATATATACAGTACGGTAAAATACTGCCAATGGTAGTCATGCTCACATTAAGTGACGTGTTGTAGTCATTTGCAGTCCCGTAGCTAGTTGAAACTTCATTCCTCTATTTTAGTCAGCATGTTAATGAAAGTGACTCAAAACTCACATTGAAAACTAAAGTTCGATTGCATTTTACATTTTTTTTCCCTCTAAACTGACTTGGGAATTGGTTGTATTTTTTTACAGTGGTGGCAGGTGAGCCTGGTATTCCAGGTGAGCCTGGCCCCATGGGCCCCCCTGGACCCCCTGGCCCCGCAGGTAAGAGCGGCGTCGGCCACCCCGGACCCCACGGACCTCCCGGACCTCCTGGATCTCCTGGTCGTTCCATCACTGGCAAATCCGGAACCCCCGGAGGCCCCGGCAAACCCGGTATCCCTGGAGCCCCCGGTGAGAAGGGACACACTGGTGCCACTGGAGCCCAAGGACCCAGGGGTGCCCCCGGTTCTCCCGGAAGCCCTGGACCCGCTGGCCTCTCTGCTACTGGCAAGCCCGGACCCTCTGGTCTTCCTGGATCAATGGGACCAAGAGGAGAGCCTGGTCTGAAAGGACATCCCGGTATTCCTGGTCTGCCAGGTCCCAAGGGTGAGAGAGGTGTAGGAATTCAAGGACCCCAGGGTGCCACAGGCCCTATGGGACCAATGGGACCAACTGGAGCTCCCGGTCAGTCTGGAGTTGGCAAGCCAGGAAAGTCAGGTATGCCCGGTGAGCCAGGAAAGTCAGGCAACCCAGGTAGAGATGGTGCCCCTGGTCCCATGGGACCACAGGGAGCCAAGGGACACACTGGTGCCCCTGGTGTAGGCATTGCTGGCAAACCCGGTGATAACGGTGCCCCAGGTCTGCCTGGCCCAATGGGCCCCAAAGGCCACCAGGGAGCTGCTGGAGCCCCCGGATCCCCAGGAACCCCAGGTTACGGAAAGCCAGGTGCAAACGGAGAGAAGGGAGAGAGAGGATTCACAGGTGCCACTGGTGCCACTGGTCAAAAGGGTGAGCAAGGTCCTACTGGATACACAGGTGCCACTGGTGCCACTGGAGCTACTGGTCCTATGGGCCCAGCTGGTGTAAGAGGTTTCACAGGTGAGCCTGGCGCTACAGGCCCCAAGGGTGACACCGGTGCCACCGGAGCTCCAGGAGCCAAGGGCAACAAGGGAGACGTGGGACCACAAGGTTTCCAAGGCAAGCAGGGTTACCCCGGCCCAGCTGGTCCCGCTGGAGCCAGAGGAGCCACTGGAGCCACAGGCGAGAAGGGTCATGTTGGTGCCCCCGGCACCCCAGGAGCCCCAGGTATCCCCGGCCCTGCTGGACCCAAAGGTCTCCCTGGCCGCGCTGGTGAGAATGGTGCCGCTGGTTCTGATGGTGCCCCTGGTGCCCGAGGAGCTACTGGACCTCAGGGTCCCGCCGGTGCTCCTGGCCACAAGGGACACCCAGGTCTCCCTGGAGCTCCCGGCCCCGCTGGCTTGACCGCTAAAGGCGTCCCCGGACCTCAGGGTCCCCCTGGTCTGCCTGGTGATAGTGGTGCCGACGGAGAGCCCGGTCCCGCCGGCCCTCCAGGCCCCCCCGGACCTCCCGGTGAGGTGATCTTTGAGAAAGGTATGGGAATGGGAATGACCGAGGTGATGGTCAAGGCTCCCATGTCTGCTTTCACAGCAGCTCTGACCACTCCCTACCCTGCCGCCGGCAGCCCCATCAGATTCGACCATATTGTGTACAATGCCGAGAACCACTATGACCCCGACTCCGGCATCTTCACATGCCAGATCCCCGGAGTTTACTACTTCTCCTACAGCATTCATGTGAATGGCGCTCACGCTCTGGTGGCCCTCTACAAGAACGACCAGCCTGTCATGTTCTCCTATGACGAGTACAACAAGGGCTTCCTCGACCAGATGTCCGGTAGCGCCGTGCTCCTGCTGAATGAGCATGACACCGTGTACGTTCAGATCCCCGACGAGGAGGCCAACGGTGTCTTCGCCGCCGAGAACGTGCACTGCTCCTTCTCTGGTTTCCTGGTCGCCTCGACGTGATAAGTCGGTCCATGAGACGGGAAACCCAACAGCCAACCAACTAAATGTGCTCTCTATTGCTCCAACCAAGAGTCAACCCTTCTGCTGACTTTTGCCTTCGAGGAATAGAAGCATGTCGACTTGAAAACTCCAACAACAAATAGGTGCTTCAAAGAAGGAAAAATCTAATTTATGTAAACAGGATATCAGGGATGGGGAAAGCAATTCAAAACATGACCCGCAGGATGCTTTTCGGAATGAAGACAGCATGTGAACCCGAGGTGTTAAATCTGTGTTGTGTCCTGGGTTTTCTTTTTCTTTTCTTTTCCACTCTTTGATAAAGACTTCGACTGGTGATTCTGACTTTACTGTTTGTCTGTTTTTTTTTCTTTGTTTTTGTACAATCTTGTCTTTTTTTTTGTTCTTTTTTTTTTCTTGTCCCGTTGCCCAGTCATCTTATTAAAAGAAAAAGTACATCAATACTTTCGATGCAACACGTTGTACCTGTTGTCTTTGTATATGACTTGAATATTGTTAAATGGCAAAATGGTCAAATTGACCATGATAACTAAAAATAGGTCATCGGAATATGGTCAAATGAGCGGTGCTCGCTGAGCAGCAAACGCCATTTTATATCCCTGAAAATGCATCATGTCATGTAAAGCATTACTGACTCAAATAAAAAGATGTCTTAACAATAACATTCTGCCTCTTGTTTGTTATGTTTAAATTGTGTCAAAACATGAAGCGGACAATTTTTAATTAATTCTATTTTGGAGTACGGATGTAACCATGTCAAAATGTGGAAAAAGTGAAGCACTGTGATACTTTCGGGATGAAATCAACTTCAATTTGGACCCTGGCAACCATTAAAGTTTATAAAAATTTAGCCTGTGGGATTCTTAAAAATAGTGCGCATGTGGAATGGGTGTTGTTTGATGTACACCGCATCCAAACTGGTGGGTGGCCCTAAAAGAGAGGAAAGTGGCTGGTATACACGAGAGGGACACTGTGGTCGGCGCAGTAGACAGACAGACAAGACAGAACCAGACAGGGTTTTGCCTTTTGGTTGATTCCACAAGCC